AACACACTTTAAACTTGGTAGAAAGGGGACTCGTCGAAAAGCGCGTCGATGTACAATTAACCCAATTGCGAAGTGTTGTCAACATGCCGCAAGTCAACTCAACTCGAGCATTCGCTGCGTATACGTAATGTGGATTGTGCTACCAACACTTCTACAGCCTGTCTGGCCTGCGAGTGTGTGGGTGCCGGTTGGACTGGTGTGTTTGCTCGTGTGTGGCATGTAATTGAGTGTGTGCGTGCTACATTTCCTGGTATTGTTCAGCAATTTCCGTTAGCACGGTTGATGTTTGGATTTCTTTTTGCCTTTTTACAGGACCAAAGAGTAGGATAAACTAACGATGTTCTCCTACATTTCCCATGCTATAAAAAAGAACACGATAGCCAACATATATGGAAAATATTCTGTTAAACCACTAAGCAAAGGTATTTAAATAAACATTTTTCGATAAGTTATTAAAATTATGCTGGATTAAATAAAATGTTTAATTTAATGTTTAAACGCAACTATGTTTAAAATTAAATTACAAAAATCTAGTATTATTTATTATCTAAAGGAGCTTTTAGAAGCTTCAGTTCACACTTGAGAAACTGCAAAAACTCTGAGAGATGCGAGTGCTGCGACCTCAGCTTCAATTTGAAAATGCCACACTCTAGATGTTGTTGACATTTGGGCGCCGCTTGCTTGTTGGGTTGCTGGGCTGAAATTCCAAAGATTGGCACAGCACCTGCCACGTTACCCGGGTCAACATGGCGTATGCAAAATTTTCCGATTTGCCTTCCACCATTATGGCAGTGCACGTGCCTGGGTCACCAGCTTTTGGCTCATAGCACCCTAAAAATTGACGTGACCAAAGGGTCCGGAAAAAAATCAAGCCACTTGATTTTAGATAATTTCATTACCATTGCTCCCACTCATCACATATTTATAAGTGACTGATAATTAATTCTTAATGTCCTTAATGGCCTTAAAGAGCACAATGGGTCTCAGAGGACATCTTCACGAGTCATTGAAAGCCAACTTTTTGATGTCAAAGAATTACAAACTTTTGTAACTCGATTCTGTTGGCACTTTATTTTACTTTGATTCTTTGGATGAACTAAGAGCTCCTCGTGAGCTACGTTGCACAGCTAGTAGTTATGAAATTGTTTTATAAACTTTAGTTTTTAGAGCACCGCAGATTAAATAATCAACCATTAAATGTTTTAAAAAACTATTAAGTTGATAAGAGCGAAACGTGAAAGATTAAAGAATAATGTTATGATAAAAAGATTATTCAGTTGCAACTTCGTGATTTAAAGTTATATTGATGTAAAAATTTTTTAGAACTGTTGTTGAAACAATAAATTTTAAGTATTTTGTAAGAGAAATACGGAATATTGATTTTTCTATTTAGTTTTGTACCTTCAATACTTTTAAAATGGTAATGGAAGCTTGCATTTAGTAAAAACACCCTATATTTTAAAGTCTGCTTAACTAAGCAATAAAATAAACGATTATATAAACCCAAAAAACTGTACTTAAGCATTCGCATCAATAAAATCCCCACGTGGCTGACTGCATCCATTATTCAGTCTATGATTACTTAAATGGATTGTTCCTTTGCCACATAATCATCGTTGTGTGCACCACATTCTTCCGGCATATTTCATTCGTGTCAATATTTCCCCATTTCTCTGCCCCTTTTCCCAACGAGTCCCTTGTGTGGAATTCCATTGAGCATTGACACATGGACCTTGGTTGCCATAATTCCGGGACCGAGTGCACTTTCTCCTAATGGCTTCAACTGCGTTTCCCCAGATGATAAATGGTCTAGTCGGTTTCTTAGATGCTTCTCTAGCTGCTCTCAGGGCTTGCCTTTCTGCAATTTTATGTATGTATTCATTCCAAAAACAGTAACCAATATAATTCTCAAGAAAGGCGGAAATGCATTGACCTGTTTCCACCTCTCGAAAAAAATTTAAAACTTGTTTGAATTTACTTTTACATCCATCGCTCTGTCGACCGCCTAATTTCAATCGCCCAACGCCGACCATCATTTAATTTATATGCTTGGCCGACTCCTTTTGACGTGGCAACGTGGCGTGAACAAAAAATACGGCGAATTCCCATTGACTCCGGGGGGAAAAAAACCACGCAACCGCAGGTTTTTCCCACCCATACTGCCAACATCCCCCCACATGCCAGAAATTTGTTTACCCGACCTTGTTCGTTCACAAAACTTTTTGTACCCTATTTTATTTTGTCGAAGAATATATGAATCGTTTATTTTAGAACTCATTAACCATAATTTTGTGAATATTAGGGACATAAAGGAAAAATATTTGGAAGTGCAATTAACATTTTTGGATTTTTGTTGTATCCTGACATAACATATATATCATTTATTTATCAAAGTATTTCTGTAAAAAAAAAAAAAATAATAAAAATGTTCTAAATAAATATAAAATTAACTTGAATCCAAATATCTTTTTTAAGTTTTTTAAATATATATGTTTAGGGTATATTTTCGTCAGACTGTTAAACTATATCGACGCTCCTTAAGGGTTTTCAATTTTATTTTTTGGCCGGCTCTCGAATTTGTATTTGTTAAATTGAAAAGCGTTGCGCTGGCGACCGCTGAAAAGGCAAAACAGCAATTCAACTCCTCTCCAAAAGTCCCTCCCCATTTGCTCTCCAAATCGCCGACCACCCATCAACTAAAAAACTCTCAAAGTAATTGATGCAAACGCAGCTGAAGGGCTGCCGTTGCCCAAAAAAATGTACCATATTGGTTTTTGTGTAGTATTTACTCCCGATTTCGAAATCAATTGATCATTGCTGCGGTGTCGATAAGTCGTCAAATAGGCATGCCAAAAAATAAGTTTAGATAGTCTTGTTGGGTTCAGCCAACTGGTCTTAAATTTAGTATCCACCACCTTAGAATCTTTGGCAATACCTAAGTTGAACTTCGATTTCGTTTCTATGATACAAATCGGTTGACGGGGACAGAAAATAAATGGCCAAAAGTGGACATAGCCACAAAGAAACACTGTTAAGAAGGAGCTGGCGTTTATGCGATCTAATAATATCGCAAAATTTATACAAGTTTTTAAAAGTATTATAAGTTTTATTAGTATTAGAGAAAGTAAATATTAAAAATAAAAAATTACTATGACGTACATGTATTATTCAATACCAATGTACAAGTGTGGAAAACACTTAAGTTGGACTATACGATGTACTTCTCATGTTTTACTTCCGTCAAAAAGTTGTTGGACAAAATAGTAATGATGTTGAATTATTCTATAATCACCATATTTTTAAAGGACTAGCTCTGATTTAATTTTTCATATTATATGTATAATTTTTGATGTATTGATCATCAATTTTACTTCCGTACAATCATTACAGCTCTCCCCTTCCCACTTTCTCCGACATCTGTGTGGTGTGTGCATGTGTGGGTGTGCCTAAAAGTGAGTGCGTGTCTGTGTGGGTGTGACCATTGTGCGCGTGCCACAATTTTAAGTTCAAGTGTAAATAAAGCCATGGCAAAAGGCGAACGTGAGCGAACAACAAAATTGCAATTACCCCCCTTAAAAGAAGAAGAGTATTCTCCTCTATCTCTTTTGCTCCCCTCCATCCATCTCTTTCGTACGCCTCTTGCCGTCTCTTTCTTAAGAGTTGCCCCGAATCGCATCGAATTTTTATGGTCGCACTTAAGTGCAAATAATGCCAAGGTAAAACAAAAGAAATGATAGACAGAGAGGCAAGCACAAAGTAAGATAGAGAAGGGAATAAAACTGAAGTGGAGAGTGGGCAAGTACTTAGAAAGAGACGGAAGAAGTGCCAGAGCAATTGGCACCATTTCATTGCATTTATTGGCCACTTGTCAAACAGAAACTTTATTAAAGCAATTCAGATCATTTTTCACAATTGGTCTTCTGCATATTCATCGCTCTTATTAAATTCCTGTTACACATTTTTGTTACAAGCTAATGTAAAAAAAGTAAAAAAAAAAAAAAGTGAGAATGTTGTTAAGTGTTGTTGTTAATATATAATTTAAAATCGTAGTTTGCTCAAAATTAAGAACTACTGAAAATTTAAACAACATATTAATGCTAAAAAAAATATTTCCTTTTCACTTAATTAGCATATACCAGTAAACAAAAATAACAATATTTAAATGATTGCTACCCACATATTTGATATCGAGTAAGTGTGCATAGCATATTAACATGCTGCAAATAATGATTGTAAATCCATTGCCCATGCTTGTATTCTGCTCCAAATTAAAAATTAATAAACAAAGTTTAATAGCTGCAGGGCTTATTTTTAGTTTGTTTGTTTAACGTGTGGCATGTGGAATTTGTTTTCCATTTACTTAGCACAACACCTATTTTGATCCATTTTTGATATATCCTAAAATAAGTAACATAATGCGTGGGTGTATAGAAAATCAAGTGCTTCTTTAAAATTATTAATACCTTTTAAAACAGCAATAAAGCATAACAAATGATTTAATTATTCAAATTAATTATTTGCTTGAAAAATAAAACAAATAATAGAAATATATAAATCTGTTTTGTTTGAAGCGTTTCTCTTGCTGCAAATACTGTAGCTTAATCTTTCTTATTACTCATTAAGATTATTAATTGTAACTATTATTTAAAGCAGACTTTGCATCGATCAAGCTCAGACTAATTTGCCAGACTTAAGGGCCATCGGTTATTTTCGGACTCCCCTGCCATAAAACAGCTTAGAATAATTAATTTGTAGCTTTGGAAGTCAACTAATTTGTGTCGCAGGCTAAATGCTTTCAACTTTTTTTCTTTTTCTAAAAATGTCTTGACACCACATGCTCACAATATGAATTACAGGGAGCTGAGCCGAAATTGATCTCCCACCAAAAATATTCATGTAAGCGAGAACTCATCAATCATCATCATTGGGATGGCAATGTGTAAAAGTGTTGCTTACTTCTCGTAAATGGCTGACTGACACTTCTTTGGCGCTTTTCTCACCTGGTAAGTTCCTCTTTACGCCTGAGCCACCTGTCACTCAGGGCATTCCCCTGATCTTTGACCAGGCGTGCGTGGTATACGAGTTTGTTTGTTTTTCCACGTTCCGCGAAGTTTATACACTGAAAATATTAAACGAGTAGATTTTAATATTTTGATATTTCAAAGAACACATTTTCAAATACATTGTTTAATATGATATCACGATTAAGAGATTTTCTATAGCTTTAAGAAAAATAATAAATAAATATTTAAAATAAAAAGAATGCAATCTTTCAAAATTTGGTTTTTTTTAAATTTTATTTTACGGTATCTGTCTTTTAAGCATCAATTGACTCATTTGCTGCCTAAAATAGAAGCATTTTTTTGGGGCGCGTAATTGGTGGAATATATTTCTATACCGAGTTACACGCAAATCGAAATCTTTATAATTATCTCGAGTATTTTGGATACTTAATATAGCCGTACCCATACTTACATCCCCCTTGATATCATGCCCTCCTTCCAAATGAATTCCACAGCACGCTACTGTATGGATGTATAACTTTCATTCTTTGTCAGAACAAGGCACAAATTAATCGCTCTCCATTAACTTTGATTTATGATTCTCGCTTGAGTTTCTCTCAACTGAGAGATTAGGGCGGGATATAAGAAAAAAAAACTGGGCGCGGTCGGTATTTACTTACGGCTCGCCATATTTTGTACATATTATTAATAGTTTTGTTACCGCTTTGCCACCCCGCTACCCAAGAAATTGATAGGTTCGGTGGGTAACAAATGTTTCTCCGGGTTAATAGACGGTCAAAACGTTTTGTTTGTTTCTAAATGGGTGCTTTTCTGGGGGAAATACAAAATAAAATATACGAACACAATATCGTAGTTATGCCCAAGCAAGTTAACTTTTTTCAATATTTATGTCAACCCTTATATTGCTCTTCCAAAAGGTTTTATGTTTAAGCTTTGAATACCATTAAAAGCTTTCTTTTTAAGAGTTCCTTTGCACCTATTTTTAATAAAAATCAAGCTTACCTAAATGTGTATTTAGTTGATTACAATTGGGATTGTTAAGAATTCCTATTTCATTTGCATCCACTTTTAATAAAAAGCAAGTTTAACTAAATGTGTATTTAGTTGATTACAATTAGGATTGTTAAGAATTTCTATTTCGTTTTATTTTAGATTTTTTTTCCTTAGCGAAATTCTGGACATATTTTTCTTAGCAAACGCTTTTATCTTCGGTAAGAATTACAAGAATTTATGCGAATTTATACATTCCGTCTTGTGTTGCTTCCCTTCCATCTCTCAGCGTTAATTTGATTTAGACACATTGCTGAACGAACCTTTATTCTTGGCCAAGTGACTGCTGCTGTGGCATCGCTTAACTCATTAAATTTAATTTCATTTGATGCACAATCCATGGCAAGGGAAAAAAGGGGTATGGCAGGGTATTTAGTAAACAAAGTCAGCGCCGCACAAGCGTCATAAATTGGCTGCTGATATTTCACACATGCTGGCCAACATTGAACGACCAGAGAGGTGAATTTGGGGTTCTAGGGGATCTAGGGAATCTAGATATATAAAATACATATTCGCCGACCAAGTGGCGCTAATAAAATGCTTAATTTACCAGATTCCGATTCTAAAACTGAGCAACCTTTTACCAAATTTCCTCACGTTTGGATGAAAATATCGCAATACACGTTTAAGCATTGTGGATTTTTATGATATTTCATTCTGCTGTCAATAATCAATAATGGCGATGGTTTCTTTGTTTGTTCAACAATTGCTCAAGTGATTGACTTGCTTGCAATTTAAGCACATGCAGTTCAACAATTTGAGTGAATAGGAAAGAACAATATTTAGTTAAGGAATACTATGTATTTTCTTGAAAGTACTTCTACTACGACTATTATCAAATTTTATTTGTATTATTTTTAAATTAACCTTTTATTGAACTCAAATAAAACTTTCCTTTTTCAAGCCTTCTGAGAAAATCTTTGTCATGTAAAAAAAAGATTCTTTTGTTTGGTTTGAAATCAAATCCATGTCGATGCCACAGTTCACATGGAGTTGTTTTTTCTTCTCCGTTTACTCTGCTTTTCCTGCATTAAAATGACATTCGAATTACGCAAATGTTGCCGGGGAGCAAGCCGGAGGGCGTCTTCACATATCACTTTGCATTAAATTTGCCACAGATGCATGAACCCTGAATGGAAGCAGGGCAACCAGAAAAATCCCAGCTCAGCACAATAATCAAAGTTACAGTTTGCAGACTCACTATACAAACATGTATATTTTTGGTCATTGGCTTTTGCATAAATTGTGAGACGAAGGCAAAGAAGCAGTAGGAAATAATCAAATAAAATAAAGTAAAGTAAAAATATATTTGCTTTTATATGCAATGAACTTTCTTCCTGGAAAACTACACACATGTCGCATTTAAGCCGCCATTATGGCCAGCAAAAAAGGGCCAAAAAGCGGAGTTGGAGTGAGGATTTCACTTATCTATTTCCGGTTTGTACGCCATTTCTGTCGCCCCTCCGCCATTTTCTTTTTGTTTGTATCATTGTTGCTCTTTGCGGTTATCTAAACGTTTTGTTTTCGTTGCTTTTTGCATTTCAAATTCGGCTGTTTTTCCCCCATTTCTAGCCATATTCAGTTGGCTTCCCTTTTGTAGCTTCGTAGCAGACTTTCCCCACCCATTTATTTGCCATTTTTGCCGTTATGCCCTTTTTTATGGTGATTTTGTTGATTTTGCTTTTCCGGCCACCGGAAATTACTAGGAATCAAGGCGGTGACTTGATGCCCTTACAGATATAGAAGGGCAGCAAAAGTACCTTTTCAAATGTTGGGATAATAAGCACTGCTTGGTTATTGTTTATAAATAAAACGAAGAGGTGGTATTAAAATCTGAAATGGAAAACTATTTTTTGCGGGTATTATATTAACGGTGTTCTGCTAAACTAATTTCTAAAATAAACTTTAAACACATTTTTTTATAATCAATTAAAACAAATCATACAGTATAACATTTAAAATGATAATTGCAAATAAGGTTAGATATATTTTATCAAAGTTAAGCTGTTTCTGAATATTTAAAATTATATTTTAAATTCAATTAACTTTCGTGAACAAATTCGAATAATAGAACAGTTAGAAAAAGTTACATTCCAAATTTAAATGCGTACTATTTTTGCTTTGGTGATACCCACAAAAGTAGCAGAGCTGGTAGGGAGACCCACAATCAAAACATTCAAATGATACGCTCCATTTGGCCTTCTACTTTGAGTGGGCATTGGGGGACAAACTTTAATTTGAATTGGTGACCAAGTGTCCGGGATTGACTTGTACAATAGTCAAATAATTTTCCAAGTGCTAGGACAGGACCTCTTGCAGGTTTCTTGAACTGATTTGCAATTCAAGTTTGCACTGCTCATTGATTAAAATCAATAGAAATCAACTTACTCACAAATCAATTTGTGCACAGCCTTCCTTTAAAGGAGTCAACAAATTACATTATCTGAAGAGGATGCCAAGCAAATAAAGATAAGGGCAGAGGGATTTTAAGGGTGTTCTTAGCATTTTATAAAAATTCATGATGGGGCCAAGGAAAAATTAAAGCGATAAAAGGGAGCCTGGGTGGATCTCACCCAAGGATGTGAGTTCCTTTTCGGGCTTTCACCCACTTTTCCTTTCTTCTTTTTGGCAGTCAGGCAGGCATACTTAATGAGCACCGTATTTTGGGGATGGTGATGTGGAAAATGGAGCTTGATGTTGAGTAGGGCTAAGGCTAAAAGGTTCGACAATATATATATTATCTTAGCAACAGGCATAATATTAACTTTTGTCTATTTATAGAGTCAATGTCATACATTCTTGAAGTTGCTCTCAAATCAAATTTACTTTGATACGCATCAACTGAGTTGTGGTTTGTAATTCGCAAGTTGATGAACCATTTGTAAATACAGCATACAAAATTGTTAAACATTTATTGTATTACGTATTGTATTGTATTATTAAGTAATTTGCACAATTAAGAACCTTGTTATCCTATTAAATAGTTCAAGATAAATTTATCCATTTTCTTACATTTGCAATTAATTTGCCTAATTATACGAAATTGTTGAACAACAAGTCTAATTTGAAAGCAAATTTGTGTGCATATGTGTCATATAAAAATGATTTATTACGAGTAAAGTAATGTGCAAATTACACAAATAATTCCAAAGGTAAAATGCATAAACGCACTCTGCTGTCATGGCAACAATTCCCTTCAGGTTGTTCCACCCAAAGAGCTGACATTAATCCATGAAAATGTTGAAATAAAATCAGCTTTGTGCCTGCATCTGAATAAAACCAAACAAGTCAAGTCAAGGAGTTCAGGGCAGAGAGGGACGACGGGATTCAACTATTCGAACGCCAGACCGACATTGGTTTAAATCAACAACAGAAAGTTGGATCCCCCGGCATGAAATATAGCGGATGCTGGCACATGTGTACTTCGTACAGCGAGTCCATATACATATACCCTTTTGGCAGTGTCTATTGTAGTATTCTGGCTTGTTGCTGTCGGGGGACAATATTGTCCTGCCATTCCTGCAGTCGAGCTGTATGACATGCATAACGGGATTTGATTCTGATGCTTTTTACGCCAGGCATCAAAAATGTAAGCAAATCAGTCAAAGGATGCTGGGCAAAAAGTGCACAAACATGGGGCCATTTTATGGAGCTTAGTATCAACAACTGAACAGGTTTCACAATAAAGTAAAACAGAAAGCTATATATGTAGGTCAACAGAGCTTTTGAGATTGCCCAAGGGCATGTTTTACTCGAAAGGCAAACAGAAAAAGATTTAAATTTAATGGAAAATGTTCTGCATAAACAGATATTGAGTTGAATGTGCCCGAAGCGAGAAAATACGTGTGCTTTTCTGCCAAGTCAACCCAAATGTACGCGTATTTATAAGAAAGTTGTGTTTGTCAAGTGTGAATTATTGGCATGTGTTACGAAGATGTCATACTACTGTTCGCGTGTTTGTATGAAAAATGTCAATAGAGGACATATCCAGCACTGAATGCTAAACAAATACTTTATCAGTCAACAATAACTCAATTCCAGCTTCCAGCATATGTTTTTTTTTTTTGTTTAATTACTCTACTATACTATGAAAGCATGGTAAGTTACACAATGATCAGGTAAACGAAAATACAGAAATATCTTTTTTCATCTAAGAACACTTTCATTAGCAACCAGGTCTAATATTTGTAGTATCTTATTAGAGTGTGGTTAGAGTTTAATTAATAATAATTAATTTAATACAATATTTGGACAGGAATTTATATATTAAAATCACAATGCCCTGTTACATGAAGTATTAAGTATCCTTAACTTATGGCTAAAACTAAAAGCTTAAATAAGTGGTTTGAGCTATAGCTGCTGGAGGTCTTCAACTCGTGGAGTAGTTTAATATTAGAAATTTATATTTTTAAAACTACTTATAATTTTATAGATTTTCTGGTTTACTTATATATATTTACTTATTTATTTTATTTATCTCTTAGATTAAACACAAAACCTAAGCCAAAACCTTTGTATTAAATATTCAGAAGACAAAGCAATAATTTATCAATAAATAAAATATGGCTTCCAGACTGCGTCCCCAACTGAACTTTTCCAGACTGCATGAGGAAAATCCCACCCACTTCAGGGTCATTCGAGGCATTCCTACAAATACATATATATATGGACTCGAGGGAAAATTTCTCTGCCTGTCCAATGCCTCATTGATCCCGAGACATAAACTTGCCGGTTTTCCTATCTCTTTGTTTAGACAAACATATTGGCGGACGCGAGCAGACATCATAGCCAGGCACTTAGCGATAGGCTTATAGGGCTAAGGATAAGGGGTCGGGGGTTGGCCAAACAGACAGACAGACATGCTAACTATGGCTATGAATCAGCCCCGTATGAAAGATGAGCCTGTCTCAGAATTGAGCTCCAATAAAACTCAAACTCCGAGTAATTGCTTTCCGTCTGGGTAAGAGATGAAGTCGTCTTCATAAAAGTACCATAACTCGACTGGATTTTACCCCCTTAACTCTTTTCCTCTTCTTTTGCATTTTTTTTTTTGGCGAGCGCTTTTTGATATAAATTTACCAATTTGCCGTGGCATTTGTTTTTACAGCTCCAGACGACGATGCGTGGATAAAGTTTATGCAAAGTGCTGCGTTTGATGGTGTGCTATTTTTATATGTCCCGCATCACCCCGAAAAGTGAAGGGCAGGGGTTAAAGGTTGCAGTGCGGTCAATGCACAAAATGGTTTAATGTCCTACACAACAGTAATTAACCCAATTTGGCTGGCGGTGTTAATGTTGCCTACGATGATGATGGCTTGATGGCGTTTCGGCCCAGTCGAGCAAAACATTTGCAATGGAAATTAATGAACAGAGTAATAAGCGACTAGTTACCCAACCCCTCAACCACCTTTGAAAAGTCCCTGAAGTCGGGGAAATCCCGCCCTGTTATGTCAAGCAAATTGCCATCATGCGTTCGTGGGCGGAGGGCCTCGCCCCCAATTGCAGTTTGAATGGAGGAGCCACAGCAACTTGGCCCCGATTGTTGACTGACTTTAAGTAGGGTCGATGGGCTGGCATTGTAGCGCTGATGTAGTTTCTGCATATGTTAGCCATGCAATTGGCAGATTACGAGCTTCTAAAGAGCACTTTGCACATGGTGATTGCACAGGTAACAAGTCTTAGCTGGCATATGGCTTGGGAAGTTCTTTGAGAAGGCAATGAATGTAATACCTGGACAAATGCCAGCGGAAATCATGGAAATTAATATTTAAAATAGTCAGGAATTCAATTTCGTTCTGCTACTTCATGTTTCAGGGCGTTTAATTGGAAATTATTTTTATCTTGGCATATAGATGAAAAGATGGTGCGACAAAAAAGAGGTTTCTTAATTTATTGAATGTTTTGTAAGTTTTTAAAACGAGCTCTACTGCCAAAGACTAAATAAGTAAATGCCGATTCAAAAAAAGTTCTTTAACGAAATCATGCTCAAAAAATTGACCAAAAAATAAATCTTAAATGTGTTTTTGCGACTGAAAAGGTAAAATGAAATCAACGCCAAAAGCACTTTTGACCCAAAAGTAATGGACACAAATAAAGAATAACAAACTCCAGTTCAGACATCGACCGCATCATTGTCACTCAATTTGTTGGTCTGACATTTGAACTGTTTGAACCTTCTGTGTGGGCCAGACATTTTGTCCAACAAGAGAAAAACTGCAGCCATCGATTTGGCCAAGAGAGTGGGAGTGGGATTTAAGGCTACCGCGGCAGACCAACAAGTGTGAACCTTGGGGCAGGGCGTAATTTGTAAATGTCCTAACATGAAATCAAGACACAAAAAAATGGCTCAAGGCTGCCAAGTGCCCAAAAAACAAGCAGCTGATCCATATATGACTTTGCCACTTCTGCCGAAAATATCCCACCTCCTCGATATCCTTTTAATCCTTGTCATTGGGGCCTGAGACCCCAAAAAGCACAATTCGGACAAACGCTTGAAAACTGTTGACAATTTGAATTTTAGCAATCACAGCCAGATGGGCCTTAAAATGAAAACTACACTGAAAATTACAAAATCATGATGTGGAATAAGTAATAACTTAATTCCATTATAAGGAAAACACCTAAAAATGTAGCATTAAATATTATCGTTTGTTGCCACAAGGCAAAACAAAAAAAAAACAACGCCTATTTCATAAAAATTATATTTAGAATGTGATACTAAAGTTAGAAACCAAGAACAAAAATATTTATTAATTTAAAATAAAATTTTTGCCAGTGCAAGCAAGAGAAATATATACAAACAGTTTCTCCAAAGGCGGAAAAAAATCACAGTTTCCACGTGCCACAAGACAAAGGATGTTGGGCAAGTTTTTCAGCAATCTGCATGTAAAATATTTAACACGAAATGTTTTTGTATAGTCTCCCATTTTCATTATATTTCTGCACAAAATGGTGCCTGGCCCAAGGGCTTCCAAGGGTTGTGCTGGGAGGAAAAGGAAACTGGTTGTTGGTATTATAGGGAGAGTAGGCAAACCTTCGGAGCGTGGACTGAAAAATAATGAGCGTCATGCTGCGTCGTCTGATAAATATAGCACAACACAAATTTATATATGGGCAACAGTTGTTGATGCCATAAGCGATAAATTTTTGCCAACTCATGGCAAATTGTGAATATGCTGGGGGATTCATGATATGTTTATATATGCGTGCAGATATATTTATTTTGGAATGAAACGACAATTATCGGGCGTTTGGACTTGGGGCTATGTCGCCGAGGTCATTATCCAGTTTGACGACATAATAATTGGTCAGGTAAATTAGATTGCAAATTTAAATATTTACCTATTATTCAAAGTAATTATTTTATAAGCTTCAAATAAATCTAACATATACTTTGAGATAACATATACAAATAATTTATTAATAATTAAGTAAAGTCAAATAATTATTGTATCAAAGTGAGCTGTGAAACTTATTGCACTATTAAAAATTATGTATTTGATTTTGAGTGGAGCACCAATTCTGCTGTAAATAAAATAAGATTTTACCAAACCATGTAAAAAATAAATATGTAACATTTTTGTATAACTTACGTTGAAAATCGTAAAGTAACTATTTGTATAACCATTGTAAGAATAAGTAAACTTTTATCAATGCTTCTGTTGAATTTGAATAAAGTAAACATTTTGGAAATGTCAATAAGTAGGCATTGTCAAAACAGACCGCAAAACAATAGCAACCGTTTTATTTAAACAAAAGCACGTTGTCCGCTAGTGTGTCCCAATTACTAGTCAAAAATCCACTAAACTCCTATTGTTTTTTATAAAAAATTCCAAAAACTTTCCATATTTGTAAGCCTCTTCTATTTGTCCACAACTCGCGGCTTGTGCAAAAGGTCTGACAACTGTCTTTACCAAAGAAGAGTCAAAGTAAATACATTTTTGGCGGTTGGAAAAAAAAGAACGTTAAGATTTAGACTAAGACCTATAAAAGGGGGTACTTGGAACTGAAAAGTTATAGTGCTCCAGTTACACAGCTCAAGATGTGTTCCAAACTCACCCTGGTCTTGGGCTTAGTGGCTCTAATCGCGGCTGTATACGCTGCCGATGATCCAACATCTCCACCTTCACCAACTTCTCCAACTTCTCCAGATTCTCCAACTTCTCCAACATCGCCGACTTCTCCAACTTCTCCAGATTCTCCAACTTCTCCCACTTCGCCGACTTCTCCAACTGCTGAAGATGTTACAACCACCACTCAAGCCTCGACTACAACCTCTACCACGACATCGAAGGGACGCAAGCGCCGAAGGATCCGCATCCGCAGAATCGTTCGCAGGAGGCGTGGGGGCCATAGAGGACGAGGACGACGAATCCGTGTAGTCCGTCGATTCCGTGAAGGTAACTTCGAAGGTCGCCAGGAGCGCAGACTCGAACGCGTCGTCTAAGATATGAATCGTCCGACTAATAAAACAAAATCGAAATATCAAATTATGTTTACCATAGTCATTTTTTAAGGCCTTTTCGGTTTGTTAAGAATAGCAAACCTTTTTTATATTGAGAAATTGAATTGTTATAATTTAATTCCTTTGCAACTTAATCTTTGTGAAATTACGAGAATAATTTACGCATTGTCTATGTGTAGCAATGGAATTAACTCAGAAGAAACAAAAATCGGGCCCCAATTTGTATTTGATTGTAGTTTAAATGTAAAAACAATCTGACACGTAAGTATATTTCAGTTAGTTTATCTGCATCATCATCATTTTTTATAATTTCTTGGCCGCTCATTGTTCGTATTCTATTTATTGTCTTGTACAGATCAATAACAATGCCATGCATACATGGTTATAATTAAACTTATGGGAGTTAAATTCCCCTTTGGTCGATTTCAAGATGTTCAATTTGTTTGATTTTGACATTGTACATTGAATTCTTTTGCTTACGATAATAATAATTACGAACAATAATAATTATTATAAATATTTAACGAACAGTTGAATGGCAATGTTTTTCTATGTTTGAAAATTGAAACACTAAAAACAAATTTCATTATTAAAAGACTTACAAGGACATTTTTCACCCAATAAAGACAAACTTAACCGGAAGGTTAATTCAGTGTATAATGGTACAAGCTTTACCCTCGACTTGAGGGGTGCAATTTAATCAGGCATCAAGGTGCGCTTGTTATAAATTAATTTAGCAGTCAGTCAAGTCTGCCGTGCCGCAAAACGCGATTAGTTTCGACCTGGTTAGACTCAACTTTATGGCCTGAATCATGGCACAATGCATAAGTTGGCCAACGGAGGGGATGTGGATGGGGATTCTTTCAGTTCCTGTGTGTAAAATCCCCAGCCAACTTCCCTTCCCGTCCCTTCCCTGCGCTTCGCTTCCCGGCCAACATAATGCCCTTTTGTTCAGTTAGAAAAGCAGCCAGTACACTGCAGCTGTTGCCCCATTAGCTATGCAGCGTCGAAAATTGGCCAAGGACATTACAAGTTTTTGCAGCAAAGTGCAAATTTAATTTCACACGAAAATGGTGCTAACAACGAGTGGCTATACTGGGATCTCTTAAATTGCATTGGCAGCTAGCAATTGATGCGTGATTCCCACTTCAGGGCCTCGCAATTTTTACTCCCACTCAATTCGGTTCGAGTTGAATATTTATACCGTTATACGAGGACTTTTTTAAATTATGTATTCCATTTCAGCATTCGACAAGCCCATTCAGGGAAAAAAATAAATATGCCTACATAAATAAATCGAGATGGCAACTTGACTTGACCACGCGTAATCAAATAAATGATGGCCCCACAATAATAATGAAAAAAGGAAACCCTTTCAATTGCGCCTGTCATAAAAAATTTGCCTTTTCCCTGCCTTTGACTGTCGAATTGCGGCTGGAAAAAAAATTGCCAAAGTTGGGTCGAGGGGATGAACAATTAAATCGGTTTCCATGGGACGAACCTGAACCTGAATTTCTGTTTCATTTGACAGCGAATTTCATTTCATTTCATTTCATTCATTAAATCTGACTCTGACTCAATTGCCGATAGTGACAATTGCATCCCGGATACAATTTGCTGGCCTCAAATATTTATCTTTATCCTCGCATTTATACTTGAATTGTTAGCATCGTGTCTCACTGAAATGAATAACACACTTTTCCCAGCTTGGCGACAGACTGACAGACTGACAGACATCGCCCGGGAAATGAAAATTCTATTGTCGGCCATTTATACTTGTCGCATCTCCTGCTTGTGTAAGGAAATCCAGGCCGGGCCAATATCGTCATTCCGCTACACCTTTGCAACACGATTACACTGAACAACAACATACAATTTACAAGATTTTTTTAAATAGGAAATATGTTAATGCAATCATGTGGTCAAGATAAATGTACTCTTATTTTATCTGTCATTGTTTTCTTTAAAATTGCTGTCACAAAAAATTTCATAATTTGCATTTATTAAATTACATTTAATAACCATTTAATCTGCAATTATTCTTTTATCCTCATTCCGGTATAATTGCACTTTGACCAATCAGTATTTATCAAGCATAATATGCAATTTTGGTTTAAAGAATCTACTTAAATGTTTTTTGTATCTTATAAATTAAGTAAATAAATGGGTTTATTTCCAGTCTGATAAAGTTAAATGTGAATAGTTATTTGTATTTATTTAAACACTTTATAGATACGTTTCAAGGGGAGTTTAACGCTTGCTCATTTTCAAATAAAAAAATTATCCCCGAAAGTTTACTTATATTTAACACAGATAATAAACCGAACTATCTGATCCGACAAAGGTTTTCTAATTTTGTTAAACAGTTTTATGAGAGTGACAGTGGAAGAGGACACCTGACAAAGACGCAGCATCGTCGGCGTCATCTCGGGTTTAAAATAAACTTTTTGGTTATGCACACAAATGGAGGAGCAGAGGAGTCCAGGGGCTCTATGCGTAATTATAGCAATATAGTCGGGGCCAGACACGTGTCCCAATGCCGAGGTCTCAGCTGAGATCATAATGAGTGAGCAGGATTATGCGGAGAGGTGCTGCACAAGTGTTCTGGTTATCGTCGACGCCTAATTGTCAAGTATACACTCAAAGGACTGGGAAATTGCTGAGGGCCTTCTGTGCGTCAAGATTATTAACACATTTAGTGAGGTAATACGCTTTAAATAAGGCTTTTGTTCTAAGGAAATGTTGATTAGCCAATAAATGCGAATAGTGTTCTGATTCAAAGAATATAAAGCCAATCATGTGGACTAAGATATAAATAAAATTGTCGTTAGCAATTTGCGTCACTAATTAAAACTGAAGGTAATCATATCGTTACAAAAACACAAAGTATTTTAGAATAAGAATACTATCGTAACTAAACTTCTTATTAAATATAATCTTAGCTTGGTTTAAACAGTTTTCCATAGATGGGTAGAGACTATTAGTCTTAAATACATAGTTACATCTATTTCATTTTATATATTTGTTTTCTAAATGCTCTAGGCAAACTAATTAATAGCTCCCAAAGAGAAACCCTCGTATACCGCAACATTCAACATATAATCTTTTAATTAATTTGCCAACGTTATAATACAAATTACACAGGTTGTAAAACTAACTAATTAAAAATTAATATCCGAAACCCCACACAGAAAACAGCTGCTGATTCAAGCTGTCAGATTTGTTTTGTCTATCCAGAATCCCATTAACCCATACTCTTAAAAAGGGGCAAACTGACTTATCCCAATTCGAACCCTTTTCAACACCAAGACAGACTGTCAAACATTTCACTTTTGCCAAGGATACATAAAAAATAAAATTGAAAGCCCACTTTTTACATTAAAATAGGGGAAACAGGACCTACTTCAAATAGGAAATAATTTGCCAGCTTAGCCAAGCGAGGTACACACAATTAATTATTTATTTTTTAATTAGGCACATTTAAATATCACTCAATTTATAAAAGAATATTGCTCTTTAAATAAGCAGTTTGTCATTTAGAAGTTTCCTTTTTCATAATGGTTTTCATATACTCTCAAGCGATAAAAATATTTAGTTACTTATATAAAAACAAAGGAATTGATAAAATTCAAAAGTTACAAATTAATTTAAATTATTGGCTTAAAATAGTAAAAACCAAACTATTATGATAATCCTTATGTTATTTGTTTAACAGTGCTTTTCAATGTAACATTGCTCTGTTGCGCTCTTACTCCGAAAATGTAACAGTTCCTCTCTCGACGCCACCGTTACTCTTTCCAGTCTCTCTCGCTGGAAAAGCCGCCAAAAAATCAGCTGTTTTTGCGGCTTATTCGAGCATTTGCCTCAAATTGCTAAAATATCTTTGTGGATGGAGGCACGAGCAGCCATAACAAATATTTCCCTAACATTCGCCTTGACGTTTATCGCGTCCGATGTCGCTTTAACCAATTTAATTGTGTTTAATTTATGGGCCAAACTGAAGTCCGACTGGAACGTCTCCGCATCCATATGGCGATAAGTCCCTAAAAGGGGGGGGGGTTTCTCTTGGGGAAGGGAGGCCATAGGGTCCTGCAAATGGTGCGTGTCCAAATCGCATTTTCGAGGGCGAGGCTTGGCTAGCTGAGTAAATAAAACGCAAAATGAAATAAAACAAAATGGAAATGGAAATCGACATAAATAAATTGCTGGGAAAACGGTTTTATCGCTGCCACAGCCTTTGACACTTTTGCTTAATGGCGACAACCATAGCCCCCCAAGAATCATCCACACACTCAAAATGATTTAGGTTCAGGGCTTGCCCACATGGCGTATGCGCAATTAAAACACTTGCCCCTGGGCAAAAACCTACACAATTTATCTGCACGAATTCCTCGCCTTCAATTTTTTTTGTTACTTATCTACTCTTATCAGTCTGCTCTCTTGGGAACCAATACGAATATGACATAAATTTAACTTTGGCAGACAGCAAAATACAAGAACAACTAATTTGACAATTGGTTTGTCTGAGAATTTCAATATGTTTTGTTCTGCCTCAAGAAACTGGTAGGAAATATATTGGAAAACTGGAAAGGGGGAGGCACATTATCATAATTTGTCCTTGGCATGCATAAAATCTGACTTCTTGGCAAAGTGTACAAAAAGTTGCCAACAAGAATGTTTCTTCATATTAAGTTTTTCCCGCCTGTTCACCACAAGAAGATGATTTACGAGGAGTGTTTTTTCTGCGGTTATTTGCCTATGGTTTTTGCGTGGAAGTTTTAATTGAAAGTAGATTAAAAGATATCCGAAAATTAGAGGAGTGAGAAAATTCTTTGTTATTAACATGAAAATATTGTGTTGATAGGAATAATCTAGAAATATTTCACAAAAGATGGATCAAGTTGCATTTAGCATGTTTTAAATGATTTAGTTATTTTTCTTAAAGTTCTTAAAATACAAAAAAAAAATATTCAAAATAAAGG